TGATGATAACTAAATGGCATATCATAAGGTAAAGCTTATCAATGAACATTATAATAAAAGCATGTAATCTCTCCTACTAACTTAACTACTAAGGTTAACTACTTAACACCCTCCCTTTGCCTACAAATTATAAATCATTAACTATTACTATAAACGTAATAATATAAAAAACATTCCCTTATTTACTTGTACATAAAGTAATCGATTCCTCCCTTCTAACTCCAACAATTTCTTTTCTTACACTCTACTCCCGTATGCAATTCCACTCTGAACCTATTCCTTGCTACCACCGGAAATGTCTTCTTTGACTAATTCTGTTGCTGTCTCCAAAGGGGAAAAACAACCCTTTATATATAATCATCCTAATTTACTCTCTTGGTTATACACTAAATTTTGCTATATTGGATTGCCTTTAGAATAATAATAATGCGTATACAAATTTCAAACGTTTTCAGTGGGGTCTGTGCATCTTTACAATCATACACAGTGCATCTTTTAAATGTCGAATTAGTATCGATCTCGACACACACACACACACACACACACACACACACACACACACACACACACACACACACACACACACACACACACACACACACACACACACACGCACAGCACACGCACACGCACACGCACACGCACACGCACGCACACACACATATATATATATATATTATATATATCTATATCTATATATATATATACATATATATATATATGTATATATATGTGTGTATATATATGTATATATATATGTGCATATATATATATATATATATATATATATATATATATATATATATATATATATATATATATATATATATATATATATATATATATATATATATATATATATATATATATATTATATATATATATATATATATATATATATATATATATATATATATATATATATATATATATATATGAATATTCATGTTTATGTATATGTATATTTATATGTGTGTTTTATGTGCGTATGTCTGTGTATGCACGAGTATGTATATGTATATATATGTATATATATGTATATACATGTATATATGTAATATATAATATATATATATATATATATATATATATATATATATATATATATGAATATTCATGTTTATGTATATGTATATTTATATGTGTGTTTATGTGCGTATGTCTGTGTATGCACGAGCGCGTGTCTATGTACAAGGGTGTACACTAGAGCATGTGTGTGTGTGCTTGGTACTTACCTTTTTATTTGCCCATCCTGCGCCCCCTGTTTGCCATCAATTTCCCGGCGAACATTGACTTATGAATGATACAACGAATGCCTTCCGCATTTGCCGCAGCGCCGCTAGGTCGGGCGTTTTTTTTTTTTTTTTTTTTTTTTTTTTTTTTTTTTTTGTCAACACGCTGTTAATCGTCAAATTATGTGCGCCGGGTTCTGATATATTCATGGCTTGACCCTGATTCCACTAATATACGGTATGTGTGTGAGTGTGTGTGTGTGTGTGTGTGTGTGTGTGTGTGTGTGTGTGTGTGTGTGTGTGTGTGTGTGTGTGTGTGTGCTTGTGTGTGCTTGCGTGTGCTTGCATGTGCTTGCGTGTGGTGGTGGTGGTGGTGGTGGTGGTGGTGGTGGTGTGTGTGTGTGTTGTGTGTGTGTGTGTGTGTGTGGTGTGTGTGTGTGTGTGTGTGTGTGTGTGTGTGTGTGTGTGTGTGTGTGTGTGTGTGTGTGTGTGTGTGGTGTGTGTGTGTGGTGTGTGTGCTTGTGTGTGTGTGTGTGGTGTGTAAGTGTGATGGGTATGTATGTGTGTGACTTTAAGTGTAGTGTGCATGTGTGTGTAACTGTGGTGTGTGTGTTTATATTGTAAAGTAGGTCATTATATAAAAAATAGAAAAGTGGGAAGGCCGATAAAAGAGAGGAAGAAAGAGAGCAAGAAAGCAAGCAAGCAAGGAGAAGACGGGTATAATGATAATACTGCACCTTGTTAATCATAAACTAGATATAGGAAAAAAGGAAGCAAGATATAATGACCTAATTAAATATATTCAATAGGTTTGCTAATCATCCGTAATCAATTTAGCAATAAAATCACGTTTATATCATAGAAAAAACAATTGATATAGATATTCGTCATCAAGGAGCAAGTTTTTTTTTCTAAAAATGATAACAAAAAATAAAAACAGAGGAAGTCATACGAAGATTATAAAGGGCATTCGATTCCATAGAAATTGCAACAGGATTATGTGCGTTGACGGAAAATTTATTGGACAAATTAGATACAGTCTGAACAGCGACCGTCAAGCTTCATGAAAAGAAGAAGAAAAAATCTTAATTCAAAAGGTTTTTGACGGGGCGATTCCAGTTCATCAAAGTTTTACATCGTGGTTCGTGGAAGTAGGCCGGAAGGGAAGACATAAATTTTAAGCAACTTCACATGAATTTCGGACAATATCATTCTCTTAAGGGAGTGAATAAACGGATGAAATATAAACGAAATGAACAGGGAGATTAACAGAAAATGGAGCCACTCCCTTATTTCAGCCTTAAATTCCCTTGCGACCGCTATGAATTAGTTTCACTCTACAAACAACATCCACATCTTCATAAACTTCTCTACCTTTTCATCACTGGGGCCGCAAAGCATATACTTATAGTAATCTTTCGGCTGATTCTTTCATTTAGGTTTAATGTTAAGGGAACTACTGGCAGGGGGAGATGAAGTAATTTTGGTAAAAGGAAGTAATATAGTTAAAAACCTGCAAGTATCCTCTGCTAGCATGGCTGGTCCTATTCAGCATGGCCTTAACAGATCACAGTAACACGCAAGTCTCATCAGTGTATACTCCATGAACATGGTACACACACACACACACACACACACACACACACACACACACACACACACACACACACACACACACACACATATATATATATATATAATATATATATATATTATATAATATATATTTATATAAACATGTATATTACATATACATATATACATATATATATATATTATATAATATATATAATATATATATATATATATATATATACATATGTATATATATACATATGTATATATATAATATATATATATATATATATATATATATATATATATATATATATATATATATATGTATATATGTATTACATACATACATACATACATACATATATATATATATATATATATATATATATATATATATATATATATATATATATATATGTATATGTATATGTGTATGTGTATATATACATATATACATACGTACGTATACATACATACATTATACATGAAAGATAAACAATGCACTACCGCATTTTTAGTCGCTTCCGATCTGGCGGCGCGGGATCGTGAACAGAGAGATCGAGACAACCCACCCACCCATCCCCCGGTATCTTTCCAGTATTTGCTTGGGCGAATAAATAATCAATCCCCCCTTCTAACTCTTTCTCTTTTCATCCACTTGCTTCACTTTGATCTGTTGTTGCATTCCCAATTCATTCAACATTGTCACCTTCGACTACTTCTGCTGTTGTATCCATGGGCCAAAGTTAATCAAATAAATTAAACTTTTCTGTGAACAATAGGCTAGCAGTAATTATGTGTGTTGGCATTGCATTCTCAAATCTCTCTCTCTCTCTCTCTCTGTGCAAGAGGAGTGCAAGGAGCCGTCTCAATTTCTTAATTACCTCAATTCAGTGCTTCTGTATTCAGAATATATTTTAATTCAATAATCCAGCATTGCAACTCTAAACCTCAGGTAAAAACAAGATTTTAATACTCGCCAATGAACAAACCTCTAAAAAAGTATTTATATTGATTATATCAGTCATATACATATAAAAAAGCATTTATATTCTTTATATCAACCATTTACATATAACAAAGTATTTATATTGATTATATCAATCATATACATATAAACAAAATGAAATGCAGTGAATGTGTGCAGCGGTGCATTAATATGTTGATAGTGGTGCATTGTATATGTAGGTGCTTCTATTTACATATTACTTGGTGTCAAATTATTAAGTGACAATCATTAGATTGGACATTTCCCACCGAACCCCTTTCCCGACTCACGCTTGCTCACTCACCCCGCGAAGGGCCGAGTCTAGCTTCACTCTACCCCAGGCTAACGGAATATTCCCTCAGCCTTGACTACCTATTCTTACGCCTTTATTTATTCAAGAAACCCATTATAACATATCAAAAGTTTATCATTATCTAACTAACGGATCCATTATCCTAAGCAGCTGCTTAGGATAATGTAGAGCCATATATTTATATACGGTTCTGGGATAATGCAAATGAAGGATATTTCCGTCTGAAGAATATTAATATGAGTTCCAACAATGTTTAAGGATTTTTATATAGAAAATATGATAAGGAATTAAAATAAAACTATGTGATAAGATTTCATAATTATTTTCGAAATATACGATAACTTATTTCTTAAGGCAGGTCCAAAATATTCATCAAAACTAAACAGGAACAAAAGTGATCCCTCTCTCTCCATATATATTTCAGTCATGATTGCACTTCTTTGCCTGATTTCCGTAATTTCCCTCCTCCTCACATTCGAACCATCCTATGTCCTGGTAGTTTGAACGTGGGCCGCCTTTCAGAGCAAGAAGGACATGATCTCTCTTTCTCCCCCCCCCCTCTTTCTCTCTCTCTGTCTTTCTGGCGAGGCGTCACACACACACACACACACACACACACACACACACACAATATTATTATATATATATATATATATATATATATATTATGTATGTGTGTGTGTGTATGTATATATATACATACATATATATATATATATATATATTATATATATATATATATATATATACCATATAATAGATATACATACACACGCATGTATATATTGACTTTAATAATTCATTGCAACATTGCCCAAATCCTTCTTTTCTTTCCATGAACCACTCACCCCCCCTCCCCAGACACCCTGTACAGGCTTCCTTCTCGCAG